CTCTCTCTCTCTCTCTCTCTCTCTCTCTCTCTCTCTCTCTCTGTCAGTGTGTGTGTGTGTGTGTGTGTGTGTGTGTATGTTTGTGTGTGGCAGGGGTGGGTTTCAAAAATTTTTGGAACCTCTTCTGTAGGTGTGGCCTGCTTTCCGGGTCCACTGGTGGAACCTCTTCTAACCGGTTCAGTAGATTGGACGGTTCTACCAAATAGGTGCAAACTGGTAGGAACCCACCTCTGCCTTAAGTCTTGGGAGAGGGCCAGAGGGGGATGTAGCGGTTCATGTATTAGGCTACAAATTGGAGTCCTGGGAGTCTTGACCTGCCTGAGGCCAGAAGCCAGCTGGGTGACTTTGGGTCAGTGAATCTCTTACAGCCCAAGTTACTGCAAGATATTGAGGAAAATAGTGAAAGAAGAAGAATTAGGTATATTCACCTCTGTGATGTATTTATAAAAAAATAAATACAGAATAAAAAAATACAGAAATCTAAAAAAAGATTGACTAAGACTGTTCACAAATCATTACAATATTGAGTTGTTCTAGTCTGAAATAATATCCTGTGGTTTAAATCTATTGTAAATCTTGCACAATAAATGTGAGGAGTCCAGGCTTTATTTTGATCACCAGTTTTACAACTGAGGTGTAGTTCATATGCTTTCTTAACAATCCATGGTACGTCTTTGATGCTTATGGGTGTACTTACCACAAAAGAAGCAGAACATTGGTGAAACTGTCACCAATCATCCTACAGCAAGTCTATAATTAGAATGCTTTTTATTTATTTAATCAGTTAAGGAAATTTATTTCTCAATGGCCTCGGGATGTTTACAAGGAGAAGAGCCAAAATACAAAAACAATTTAAAAAGCAATAACCCCATCCCACACTCCCTTGGTGATAACAATCAAATGAGCCCTTTGATTAGCACACAGATGAATTTTCCAAATCTAGCCCAAGGTCCTAAGATGCTGGACAGGGTTGTCAGTCAGTCGAAATTCAGAATCTTATGGACAGACACTCTATGTGGCTTAACTTGATTATCAAATACCAAAACAGTTTGTATCTGAGGTTTCCTCATTCTGCATCCTCTCATTACTTAAGGTGATTGTCCATTTCTTGGGTAATAGTAGGACTTCAACATTATTTAGAGGTTTCACCACACTTTTAGAGATACAACTGACTTAAACAGTTGCCCCATTAACTGCTTTCTGTGGTTTTTGAGCGAAGAACTATATTATTAAATATTGATTTTCCTTTATTCCCAGAACTTCCAATTTTAACATTTTCTGACTCATTTGGTCTGCTACTATTTACTGTACATGTGGTTAACTGATTTCTAATTTTTCACGTTCGTATTTTATGAAGTCCTGTATCAAGGCTATTTGAAGGGGAGGGGATCATCTATAGTTCACAGAAATAAACTCCACAACACTCAAGGCAAAGCTTAAGAGATGTTGAGGTTGAGGTTTATTCGATTTATATGCCGCCCTTCTCCCAAGGANTGAGGAGGGTCTCTCAGGCCAGAATTATCAAAACATTAAAAAAAATAATCACAGCCCCCTCTCCATATTTTCCTCTTTCCCTTGTTATCTCTCCGTATTTTTTCTTTCATTTCGATCTACTGTCCAGACAGCGCAATGTCCATAAGTCCTTTTTTTTTTTTGCCTCCGGGTTGAAAGTTCATATCGGACATCGCTCCGATTGCTGCCATTTCCACTGAAGTCCAGCAGAGCAGGGAGGCAGGGTCTCTATCCAATCTCGCAAATCTTGCAAAACAGCCTTTTGGGGCAATCGCTGGATGATCAGCTGGCTTTCAGAAGCTCTTCTCGGCCCAGCTCATTCTCCCCGTCCACTTCCTTCAGAAAGCACATGTTGACCCCAGCTTCCAAATCAGAAATTGGAATTTGCAACCATTTGGGGAGCAAACGAGTTTCCTGGATGAGCCAGGAAGAAAGTGATCATGTCCCTGTTGCAGAAGCCAAGCGGGCTGTTTAGATCACCTTCCAACGGATTGGCCCTTGCTCAACGACACGACAGAATTGAATGCAACCAGCATGCATCTTAAGGGGATACATTCTCAGGTTCTCGGCATGCATTTGTGAGGAAGAGGCTCGAAAAACAGGGTGGAAACCTGGTTTGTTCATGCAGCCGCCTCCTATGCTGAGGGAAAACCCATTGGAAGGAACCTTCCTGCTTCCCGTCACATTCCCAGGCCCTCTTCCGCTCTACCTCCAACAAGGTAACCGTGAAAGAAGATCGGCTCGCAGTGACCAAGGGACACACCTTGACCCAAAGAGACAAAGAATATCCAGACCTTCTAAGAAAATAGGGTCACGCAGCAAGCTACTGAGGTTTCATGCAAAAATGCTGGGATGCCCCTTTCGTGGACCTCAAACATGCAACACCCATTTCACAGAAATGCTGACTGACCTTGGAGGAATCTGCGTGAGCAGACCAGACCTCCAACCCCTCCCAGTTTGCAGAACAGGAAAGAAGCCGACTGAGATTAGCGGCAGGCCACAGATAAAGGAGAGGGGAGACCTTATAAAAAGGGAAGCAAGGAAGTGAGGGGCAGTTCCTTCTCGCCCATCAAGGTGTCACGTTTGAGACTGCTGCCTTTGTTAACCACTTTGACCTTGAGAGACATTTTCCTCACGTTGCTGAGGCCCAGCCCGTCGAAAAAGAAATCTTCGTTGAAGATGGGGTTGCGACTATTCTTGATAATCGTGCTCCGTTGCTTCTGCACCTTGCCGGGGTTTAAATAGAGAGCCGCGCAACAGTTGATGCTCCTGATATCACAGTGCTTGTCGTAGAGGTCTTCGGCGGCCACCACGCGCACCCGCAGCCTGGCGTTGGACGGGTTGTAATGGACCACCAAGCGGATGGTGCCTCCTTTGCTAAAACTGAGCACGTGTTCCTTGTGAAATCTGTCTTGGGGGTCTGCGGGGGTGAGAGGCTGTGGTTGCACCCCGCCGGTGGCTCCCCCAGTTGGAGGGGTCGCACAGCGCATGCGGCGCTGGGAGCTGGGACTGGTGTCGGCCGAGCTGTCGTCAGTGGACAAGGAACTGTTGCGAGCCACCGAGTGTTTGAGTTTGATGACCTTGGATTGACTCTCCTGGCTGAAGATCTTGAGGAGGGATACCGACCTCGACAGCAGCGGGGAGCCGAAGGGAGAGGACTCCGCGGAGGAACAGGTGTCGCTCTCTCCTCCACTGAAGTAGCGGTAGGGATTCATGAGGGACATACTGATGTCCGAGGGGTTCAGGTGAGCGCTCTCTCCATTGGTCTTGCTCCCTCCTGAGGTGGACCTCCGTTGAGAACTGGGCGAGGAGGACTGGGATGGGCACAGGCTAGTGTGCTCGCTATGGAAAAGAGATTCCTTACGGCGGGTGTGAGGACTCTCCATCAGCGTTGCGAAGCCGTACGAGGTCTGTGCTTTGGGGACATACGGCAGCGACATGGCCGTCTGGGACTGTGGGTCTGCGTTGGTACTGTAGTCCTCCTCAGACATACACTCATCTGCGCTCTCGATCTGGATGATGTGTCGGCTGGCGGCTTTTAAAAGATTCTTGCTCTCCGAGACGGCCTTCACCGGCAAGCGAGGGCTGCGCGGAGTTTTGCGGGCAGATAAATTCTGCTCGGAGGCCGAAGTGCCCAGGTTGGGTTTGGTGTTCCCTTCGTCTGCCTCAGGAGGCACCGTCGGCAACTTGGGCGGAATGAAAAAATCCGGGATTTTATCCGGCGTCAGGACATTGCTGTACAAGGGTCCTTTGGACTGCTTGTCTGCCGAGTCGTTGCCGCGAGAACCACTATTGTCCACCGAGCCCCGGATTTTCTCTAAAAGCCACATTCTGAGTCTTTTTCTTCTACTGGTTCAGGAGGAGACTGACAACTGCAAACGCCTGGAAGATAAAAGACAAAAATCATAGTGAGTTTCTTACCCTACCACTGGTACAGAATGGTATTTTAATTTGCAAATTAGCTACTGCTGAGCAGAGAAATGACCCCCCCCCCCTTTTCTTTTTCATTATAGATTCCAATGGAGGAAAAGAGCATCGGTTTTTGAAATTTCTCTTCCAAGAGGAAGAGAGAATTTCAGGGGTGGGCCATAGCTTTTTAAAACTTACTTCTCCATAAGCATATCAGGCACCAGGGAAATCAGGAGATTCAGGCAGTTCGAATGAGTATAAAGATTTATTGTACACTTAAGCTTTCTACAAAAATCTGACCTACTAAAAGTCAAGGGAAATGCGTGGGAATTAGGAAGACATTTGATGTGGGCTGGACTTAGATTTCTTGGGGGCATGAAGGGACTCATGACTGATGACACATTTGACTCCT